TTATACATATGCCTTAGTCTGCTGAATGCTAGAATTACAGGCATGTACCATCATGCCTAGCTGAAAATTCTTTTAAAGGAAATTTTGTTCTTTCTGTAACTTCCTACTGACATCCGAAGATCTGCCAGTAAGCCTGTTGACCCAGGGGATGGAAGAAGACTGGTGACCAAACATATCTGCTAAATCTCTTTTGTATAAGCTGCTCAGGGATGCTATTGCTTGTTTATGATCCTGGTTTGTGTGCTTGACTCTCCTGTTTCATATTTTTATTTCTTTCCAGTAGTAAAAGACTTCTGGGAATAATCCGAGGCACATGAAGAGAAAATGTGGAGTTACTAATAAGATTAAATTAAACTTAAGCACATTTTTAGCAGTGTGTGAAGAACAGCACTAAGCACCGTTGAAATGAGCAGACACAAGCTGAGACCTCATCATATTTACAAGCTGGTGCAGAGAGGGAGTGAGGAATAAAACCACAGAGAGATATCATGAGTTCATGCCAAATATGGCAAATTGCATGTGAAAGGAAGGGGTGAAGTGTTGTAGGGCTTGAAAGCAGGGGCCTTTCCAAAACTTGGGAGAGCAGGAATGAGAGTGGGCTCTATAAACAGTAGCGATGGAGAGAAGAGAGCCCTTAGCTTACCCTAGGCTCTGTCACAGATACACTCAGTAGGCTTTGGTGTCTTCCCCTCTCAAGACAAGCTACATAGCTTTTAGGGCCCAGTTCTTTGCTCAAACACAGAAGCTTGCCCATGCTAGGCAGATGCTCTACCATTGAGCTACATCCTTAGCCTCAGGACCCAGTTCAAAATGAAAATTCTAGGCCCTTTGTACAAAAATAGTTCCAAGAGGGGCAAGCAGAGCATTAAGGGAAGTGCGGGGCAGGCTGCTTGCCCTCAGTGAGGGCCCTCTCCCATGTGAACTTGCCTGGATCTCTGCTTCCTCAGGCCTACTTCAGGGAAGCAGGGAGCTGGGTCTTGCTTTTGCCACATAGACCCAGCACCTTGCACAAGGCCTGCTGCCCAGATGAATCAGTGAATGGCTGGAGAGAGAAACAGACTGGCATAATTAAGCCTCATGATCTTTTAGGTTGCTTTTATCATTGAATTATTATTGGATCCCAGTGTGGGGGTTGTTTGTTGAGACGTGATCTCACTATGTAGTCCCAACTGACTTCGAACTTCTGCCTCAGCCTCTAAGTGCTGGTATTACAGGTGTGAACTACCACACTTGGCTCTTTGTGGAAGAGTCATCTGAGGTGTGTCTTGAAGGAGAGGAGGGTTTTACTTCCCTTTTTTTTTTCGGTCTTTTTGAGACAGATGTGGCAGGTGTGGAACTCGCTATGTAGATGAGGCTGGCATCCATCTCACAGAGATTTGCCTGCCTCTGCCTCAGCCTCCTGAGTGCCAAGATTAAAGGTGTGTACCACCACGCCCAAATTGTTTCTTCTTTTCCACCTCCTGTCCTTCCTAGATATTTCCATTTCTCTTAGACACTTGAATGGTCATGTTACACTTTACAGTGTGCAACAGTTGTACAGACTGAAGCCAAAAAGGGGTGGCGTCAAGACTTCAGCATCATCTAAGGTTCCTTGAGCTAATTGCCCACTTCTAGGGTTGGTTCAAATTTCTGTAAACAGAATCTTGTTTTTCTTTCTTTCATTCAAAAACAAACAAAAACAAAAAGATTTGCTGGGTGTGCGTGCCTTTAATCCAAGCACTTGAGAGGCACAGGCAGGCAGATCTCGGCGAGTTGAAGGCTGGTCTGGTCTACATAGTGAGTTCCAGGCCAGCTGGGCTACAGGGAGACCCTGTCTCAAAAAGACCAAAAGAAAAAAAGGATTTATATTGTTTTGCCTGCATGTACATATGTGCACTACATGCATGCCTGGTGTCCACAGAGGCCAGAAGTGGGAGTCAGAACCCTGGAACTGGAGTTAAAGACTGCTGTGTCACCATGTGGGTGCTGGAAATTGAACCCCTGCTTTGCAAGGCAGCAAGAGCACTTAACTGTTGAGTCGTCTTTCCAGCCCCTGGTGTTTCATTTTAAAATCATTTTGTTTTTTATTTTCACTGGACAACGGATAATTATGAAGGAAAAAAAAACAGAGACATAAAGATGAATAAAAATAATCAGATGTTGGGCTGGAGAGATGGCTCAGCAGCTAAGAACACTGTTCTTGCGGAAGACCTGGGTTCAAATCCCAGCACCCACATGGCAGCTAATGACTGTCCGTAACTCCAGTTCCAGGGGATCTGACAGTCTCTTCTGTCCTCTGTGGGCGTTGCATGACAAGCGTGCACTTACCTACAAGCAGGCATAACACTCCAACACGTAAAATAAAAATAATAAAATATATTTTTTTAAATCCACTTAATTCCAGAGTGAGGGGGCTAGAGAGATGGCTCATTGGTTAAGAGCATCGGCTGCACTTGCAGAGGACCCGGATTCAATTCCTAGCACCCACAGGGCAGCTAACAACTGTTCCTAACTCCAGTTCCAGGGGATCCAATGTCCTCTTCTGACTTCCTCGGGCATTGCAAGACACAGATGCATCTACCTACATGCAAACAGTACACTCATATACATTAAAAAAATAAAAATAAAAAATACATAACTCCAGAGTGAAAATTCGTATGGAATGTTTACAAACAAGTTTTCAATCTGCTTTTCCATTTAATAACATATTATAAACGTCTTTGTACATTGATATGCTAACAGCTAGGTACATGTCTGTAGCTGCCACTACTCAGAAAGCTGAGGCAGGAGGAGCATGTTAGCCCAGGATTTCAAAGCTAAGCAGGGCAAGAGGGAGAGCTGCTCTCAATTTTTAATTTTTATTTGTTTATTTTTGGTCTTTTGAGACAGGGTCTCCCTGTAGCTCCAGCTGGCCTGGAACTTGCTATGTAAACCAGGCTGGGCTTGAATGCATAGAGATCCTCCTGTCTCTGCCTCCTGAGTGCTGGGATTATGTGCCACCACACCTGGCAGCTGTTCTCAATTTTTTAAAAATTATCAAGTACATGTCTACGTTTTTCATGGTTGTATCTCATTCTGTCAAATAGTTACACTGTTGTTTTCTTAAGTAATCCATTAAAATTGAACATTTGAATTACTTTGATTTTTTCCTATCATAAATCTTGTTTCCTGAGTTTGGAAAGTAGACAACAGATTCAGTTTCTCTGCCCTTTATTGTCTATTCTTTTGGTAACTTCATGGTAGAACGAGTGCCTTTGCCTGCATTTGTTGTTTGGCGTGTATTACTGCACATAAGCTCCTAGCACAAGCACAACACAGTGCAAGGCAGACTAGACATGTAATAAATATTTACTGTTTTATTACTTTACAGGCCAGAGAGCTGTTTGACAAGACTGTGGTATAAGTTAACAGTAGAGTCTGGGACCTGTGCTTTGCAAAGCAGTAGGATGAGGTCTGGGTGAGGGGTGGATGACGTACTTCGTGATCCCTGGGTTCTCTGGCAGCTTCTTGTTTCCTTGTTTAGAGATTGAGCTCCCAGAGAGCTAGGAGAGTCTTCAATTTTTTTAAAAAAACACAGTGGAGGGCAGCAGGTGCTCAGCAAGGACTTGTCACTGTGCCTTGACATCTAAGAACCTTTACAGATGGGTTTCTCATTGCTTGTGCGGTCATGAGGCCTGTCTTTACCCTGTTACACAGCCTGTTAACAGGGACCGTGCTTGGACTGAAAAGAATTAGTTGTGCTCAGCCTCAGGGGTGACCATCCTACCTTGGGGGATGTCCTAGGGATGTGGGAAGCTGGTCATAGAAAAAGAAAGTTCCTGGCTAGTTACTTGCTGGCTCATTGACCTTGGGTAAACAATCTCTCCTCCCTGTCTCCTTCTCTGCGACTCTGTAGGGAATTGAAGAAGGTCAGGATGGTAAGACTAAGGAGCAGAATGATATACCGTGCCCTACCCTCCACCTGTGTTTTAGTCTATTTCATTCAGTTTTCCCATTGCAGACAGTCTTATTTCTTTTCTCCCACTCCCTAGCTTAAATGGATGCTTCTGAAGGGAAGGGCCCTTTCTACTAACCTCAGAACTCAATACATTGAAGCCTGTTGAACCTTGAATATAAGTGGTTCCATGAATTTTAAAATCTCAGAGCCAGCCAGAGATGGTGGTGGGAGTCTATAATCTCAGCATGGTAGAGACTGAGGCAGGAGGATCATATGGTGGTACATGCCTGTAATCCCTGCACTTGGGAGGTGGAGGTAGGAAGATCAGAAATTCAGGGTCATCCTTGGCTATGTAGTGATTGAGGCTATCCTGGGATACATGAGAGTAATTAAAAGAAGGAAAAAAAAGTGGGTAGGCCCTGGTGCTTTTAGTCCCATCACTCGGAGGCAGAGGCAGAGGCAGAGGGAGAGGAGGCAAAGGATCTGCCTGAGATGGAGGCCAACTTGATTTATGCAGCGAGCTCCGGGCCAGCTGGGACTAGAGAGAGACCTTTTCTCACAAAAACAAAAACAAAGAAAAATTAAAAAGAAAGAAAGGATTGATAATAGGGCCTCTCATATGTGAAGGTCAAATGAGAAAATAAGATGCATTAGGCACCTGTCTGGTACAGACTATGATGATATAGCTACTATCATTAGCACATTTGTGTTGTGCGATGACCAGGCTCTGATCCAAACGTCTTACATGCGTTAATCAAGCTAATCTTCACTACATTCTGCAAAAGAGTAAGTATTATACCATTTTGCAGATGAGAAAGGGCATAAGATTAACTTTATATACATCCAGGCCCCCAGGCTATTGCTTTATTCCTCGGGTTTCTTCCAAGCTCACAGCAGCCGCGGCGGGCCGGGGATGGGAAGGGTTAAGGGGCGCGAGCGCGCGCGTCCTCTCCGTGGAGACCGCGGGCCCGCGCCCGGCTCCTGGGCTCCCATTGGCGCACACGCCCCTTCCTGTCACGGCCGGCTGGGCCCCGCCCCCTGGGCGCCGCCGGAGTGGACGCTTCCAGAGGCATGCTAATGAGGGGCTGGTCGGCGCAGCCCATTGGGCGGCCGAGGAGTGTCGGTGAAGTCAGCTCCGAATCCCAGAAAAACAGAGCGGGGCAACTGCAGCGTGGAGCGGAGCGGGCGGGCGCGCAGCCTAGCGACCCGCAAGGTAAGCCCGCGCTCGGCGCCGTGCGCTCGGCTCTCGCCCGCCGTGCCGGGAGCCGGGCAGCCGGCCGGCGGGCGGCGCCTTTGTTCCGCGCTCGGAGGAGGTGCTTTTAAAGGGCCAGCTGTTGGAGGGACCTGGGGACCCCCCTCCCCCAGAGCATGCCCCCCGCGGTCACCGGGACCGCCGCGGGGGACCACAGCCCAGCCGAGCCTCCAGCCTGCTTGGTGGGTCCCAAGCCCTTCAAGGAAAGTTCCTAGGATGCGGGGATCCGGGGGATCCCAGATTTCTTTAGCCCCCTCCCCTTTTTTGGGTGGGTGGGGGTAAGTGCGATCATGGCCTCTGGCAGGAGGGAATGTCCGCCCGCCTCAGGCTGGCTATAGTGTGGGTGGATGGAAGAGCCGGGAGAGCCCGGGTGGGTTCGTGCTGCAAAGTGAAACTGCCGAGGGGCTTCTCTGCAGCAGTCTGAGGCAGAAGGAGGGAGCGAGCGGCGGGATGGAGGCATCTCAGGTGTGTTCATTCATCAGCATCCCCCAAGCCGAGGGCGGCGGGAGGGGCGCCAGTACAACGCGGCTGGCCAGGACCCGCCTGCCCCGGTGGTGGGTGTGTGTCCGGGGATACAGTGCCTGCGCGCGCCGCCCTGGCCTCTTCATCCCCACCAGTGACTCACAGCGTCTCGCTAGGCAGCCCATCACCAAGAGGGACGGAAAAGCAACTCCTTTCTCCTATTTCTCGGTTAATCCCTGGCTTCTATCTCGCTGCCCTCAAACGTGGCTTCCTTGATGGTAGTGACATTGAAGATAGAAGGGAAAAGAGGCTTAAAGTCATTATGTGCCTTTCGGGGCGGGGGGATGTGCTATCGAATTCTGCATCCCCATGCCTCTGCCTTTGAAATTCATCAGTGCATGCTTTTTGGGGCAGACAGAATTTATTACGCTATTACATTGCTACATAAAGGCAGAAGGGATCCCACTGAGCGGGCTCATTTCATCCAGTCCCAGGGTTTTCCCAGCATGTTCTAGATGAGCCTCTGGATTTTTGTTTGAAACACTGAGCGCTAGGATGCCCCTGTTGTCACAGGACCTACCTACTGAAATTGCTCAAATTGATTTCACTGTCAGTAGGAGAGAGGTTCATTCAGCGACATCATAGAACCTGTCTGGTATGTCAGGCCTCTGACTCCATCTCCCAGCCACCCTTCCCCCCGTTTTTTTTTTTTTTTTTTTTTTTTCTTCTTAGGTGAAGGTCACAGGATGGCTTGTCTGACCACATACTCCTTTGATTTTTGAGCACCTCTATTTAAATTTGAGCGTGTACTTTTGGGTTGGAAACATAGCTTGTTGGTGATTGAGGGTGGGAGAGCTGACAGCGGTGGCAATGACAAAAACACATGGTAGACATTTGGAGATTCTGAGGCTTCAGCCTGTAGAGACCAAGATGAGAGTAGTTGTCTACCAAGTGAGGTGTGTGTATGTGTGTGTGTGTGTGTGTGTGTGGTGTGTGTGTGTGTGTGTTGGCTGTGAAGGGGAGGCGTGGAGGAGGAAGATGCTGCCAACAATTTTCTGCCCCACCCTTGATGCTGCCTTAAATAACTCTTTGCCAGCGCGGCCCTGAGGTCTCCCTCTTTAGCCTGAGGGGAAAGAAGGGAAGGACTGGTGTGTTGGTACCCCTGCCCAGGCCAACTTTGGGAAAAGGTTAGGGAAGGCTTATTTCTCCAGCAATTGCAGAGTGCACATTTCCCAGTCGAAGGACCTGTGACGACTGACTGTGATTTCCCTGGTAGAGAATTGGCAACTGAAATGAAGTATGTTCTATGCTGTGGGGGTGAAGGACCAGTGGGCACTGTCATCATCTGTAGACACCACTCTTCGTTGGCCCAGTCTTCTTACCTGCTTTCACTTGCTGTAGTGCACAGTTTCTGTAAACTTTTTGAAAAGATTAGGAATATTGGGATAGGGCTGAAATGATGGGAAAGGAGACAAATAAAAGCTTCTTACTGGCAGAACAAAGATTCCTGCAGCTCTCTTTTTCCTCTCCCCCAGAGTGTGGCTTTTCTTTGCAGAGAATGGAAGGTGGGGTCTGGGGAAAGAAAGCTTTATCTTTGCAGCACTAGTGAAATCCTGGTCACCCCAGTGCCACTCTAGACCTGTCTCTGGACATAGAAGCTGAGGTGCTGTAGAGGATACCCACTGATAATTTAGGATGATTTAGTGGATGCTTTCAAATGCTCTGGTAGAGAAGCTTAGACCGGATATAAAACAGCTGGCTCTGGTCCTGGAACCAATCTTTGGGCCTTTGGCTAGTGGCTTACTGTCTCTGGGCCTCTGCTCTTGTTGGTATAGTGGAAGGCTTTGGAGCAGGTGACTTTCTAGGGTTCCTAATAGCATCTCTCTTCTTAAATTCACAAGTACAGTCTATGATGGTGTTTTTAGATTCTTCCGTTTGCTAATCTGATGAGAGATTCGTAATATTGAGCAATGATACAACAGAAGCATCCTAGAACTCAGGCTGCTGCCGGATTCATACTACCTTTTCTTTGATTGGTGCAATTCATGTGGTTTTACCGTATGTAAATAATTCAGAGCTAGAATGGTCCAGAATGAGAAGCACCGACCTCAGAGTGGGTTGGTGTGTGGGGGAGGTGAGGGAGGGATGACAGATTGCTGAGGAAAGGGCATTTCTATAATTCATTCTCGCCCTGTATGCATGTAGCTCACTCTTTTGTTTATGATCCTGCAGGTGAACATACAGATATTGGAACATGGGGGAAGGGAACCTCTGTGACTGACCCATTCAGCAATCTTCACTGAAGAATTTTAATGGTTGGGAGGTTTGGCTATTTATCTGAGGTCACACAGCTAGCAAGATGCAGAGGGGGATAGAATCTGGGTCCTGTGTTCTCGATGTATTTGTTAAGCCCTCTCCTACGGACTCCCTTTTCAGAGGGGAGACTTGGAGATGACTACAGCTCATCTTGGGCATGGTGAGTGTTGGGGGCTCTGGCCTGTGACCTGAGTAGAATGTCAGAATGTTTCAGTGTGCAATTAAAGGGCTGTGAGCACTGGCTGACCAGAGCATTACCATTCAAAGGCAAGGATAAAAGGTGATAATACTTTGAAGTCTATGGCCCAAGCCACCAGCTGGGCATGAGTAGTCCGCCTTCCTCGGCCAGCTCTTTGGATGCTCAGAAGTATGTCTGTGCCCCCTTTAGTTGCTTCTGCTTCAGGCGTGTTGTGAGGCCGTGTACCTTGCTGCCTCCCCACTTCTTTTCTTCATTCTTTTTCTCTATCCACTTCTTTTTTTTTCTTTTTCTCATCTCCTGTTGTATCTTTCTCCCTGCCCTCCTCCCTTACCCTTCCTTGACTGTTAGGAATATAGCTTTGTAGTGTGTTTTAATATATTTATTGTCTCATGAAATTTCCATGTTCTCTGTTCTTAATTTAAAACCGGTTGAGTTTAGTATTTTTGAATGTGTATGTTTTAAACACAAAACAAAAACCAAACCCAATTAAATTGCTTTTTACTTCTGTGTGGCCTTCTATTGATTTGCCCCTGTCTGTGGTCAGGAGTGACTCGTCCTAGGGAAAAAAAATTCCCTGGTCTCTGTCATGTGGTTACTGTTTTAAAAACAAAAACAGCTATAACAATAGAAAAAGTTTCCACCCTTATATTGTGAACCATCAGGGACAACCTGTCCCAAGAGATGTGTCTTGTTTCTCAGCTTCCTTCCATGGAATGAGTATCTTTAATCTGTTCAGTGAGAAGCTTGTCCTGTAGAGTGGATGGTGGATGGGTGACTCTTCTCAGTGATTCTGGTAATGCTGAGAGGTGGGACACTAGCAGGCTACTACAGAGAGAGTACATCCAGGAAGAATTCAGCATGATGGTTTTTCTGTTTTCCTGGGCTATACTAACTCAACTGGCTGTAGTGAGACTCGGGCTCCTTTAGAAAAGAATCAGATACTTGTCATCTTTCCCATTAGTGTTGGGTAGAACTCGAGTAGTATATTGTACCCACAGCCATCAACAGGTTGCTGGTATGAAATCCTGTGATGGAAGCACATGGGAGGGCTTCATGATGTCCTTCGGTCTTTGATTCATTACAGACGAGAGTGAGTCTTTAAAAACATTTATTTTATTATTTATTTATATGTCTGTGTGCATGTATGTACCCATGCATGAAGGTGCCCATGGAGGTCAGAAGAGGGAATTGAATCCCCTGGAGCTGGAGTTACAGGCAGTTGTGAGCGGTGGGGCATGGGTGCTGGGAATTGAACTCTGGTCCCCTGTAAGAGCAGCAAGTGCTCATAACCATCTCCAGCCCCAAGATCGAGCCTTGCTACTCATTGGTCATCAGGTAGTTCAGTATCTAAAAGGATCCTCAAAAGCAAGAGGGTACCCTGAAGTGTCCAGTTGATTGATTGCTTTCTTTTTTTTTTTTTCAGTTGTTTTGAGACAGGGTTTCCCTATAGCCCCAGCTGGCCTGGAACTCACTATGTAGACCAGGCTGGCCTGCAACTCACAAAGATCCACCTGCCTCTGCCTCCTGAGTGCTGGGATTAAAGGCGTGCGCCACAACCCCCAGCTTGAAGTCTCCAGTTTTTAATACTAAAAAAAAAACCCACAAAAAACAAAATCTACATGAGTTTTGTATTCAACTGTATAATATCTGTGCTCATTTTAGTGTAAACATATTTAAATTGCTTTACTTTTGGATACAATTGATGGTCCAGGAAAATGTAATGTTTATCTTGGGCTCTCTCCAAGTACACGCAGCAGTCCGTACCCCAGCTGGAGAAGCCAGGATAGGGCAGGCCTCAGACCTGCTGTGTTGAGAACTACCCTCTAGTCTTCCTTGCTGGCTCTTCGTGTCCTCAGAGGCCAGGCTTTTCTCACACTAAAATTTGCTCCCTCACCAGAGGCCTTTATCCCTTTTGTCACTGCCTCCTGCTTCTTTCAGGTTCCCTCACGTCTCAAAGATGCATTTCTTCCTCTGTTCACCTTGT